TCTGCTGTAGTAACCATTAGTGGTTTATCCAAGTTAGCTGGCCCAGCACTTGGCAGAGGTGGTTAATTTTAGTCGTTGTAATACAAGGTTAGGCTTTATCCAGTGCACCATACAGGCATTATTATTAAATATTAATAACACCCCCCCCCTTAAAAATCTCAAGTTGGTTTTACCCATACCCAGGGCACCTTGCTGCTGCTTTAATAATTCTGTTAGTGTGTGTTTTTGATTCTGTGCTTGATGGCTTCCTGTTGTATGTAAGGTACAATTCAATCTCCGTAACATGACTTGAAGGTTCTTCACTCCTTTGCTCTATTTTCCCTTCTCTGCTACCTACGCTTCCCAGTTACTTACCTTTGTCATGATGTAAATTGCTGTTCTCAACAGAGGTCGCATAGATTACATTGATTACTTGAGATATAACTTAGAAATAATTCAGCTGTATTATTGTGGAATTTTGTTATGAAAGCTCTCAGAGAAGCATGCACAGCGTGGGGTTGAGTATGATGACAGGTGTCTTCCTAGGGTGATTTTCTTCATGAAGTAAAAGAACAGACTTATGTAACCCAGGGACAACAGTGGTGAGGTTTAAGACCTTCCCTGTCGGTGTGAAAATTTTAATTACCGCTTCCTTGCTGAATTATGGGAAGCCCATTGAAGGTTCTTAAAACTATGGAAAATCCCGAGACTGGTTTCAAATTTGCTTGGGGTGTGTGTTTGTGTGTGTGTGTGTGTGTGTGTGTGTGTGTGTGTGTGTGTGTGTCTGACTCTTGGGCATAGGTCTCCTTGTTCATTTAGGTGTCACCTGCAAGGCTGAGAGGCTCCTGTTCTGAGATTCCATCTGTTTATGTCGCTGCTGGAATGATGAGAAGGAGGAGCCTGATACTCTCACAGAAAAGGATTGCTTCAGAGCCACATCTAGTCTTTGGGTCAATATAGTTGTTTATTTAGATTTAGTTCACTTAGCAAAAGTTTGATTAAGAGATTACTGCCGAAACCCATTTGGCTCAGTGGATGGAGCGTAGGTCTGCGGACTGAGGGGTCCCTGGTTTGATTCTGATCAAGGGTATGTGCCTTGGTTGCGGGCACGTCCTTGATGGGGTGTGCAGGAGGCAGCTGGTCAATGTTTTTCTCGCATCAGTGTTTCTAGCTTTCTATCCCTCTCCCTTCCTCTCTGTAAAAAAAAAATCAATAAAATATATTTTAAAAAGAGATTACTAGTTTTATATTATTTATCACTAATCTCCCATATTGACATTTCTCAGATTGACCCGGAGTTGTGGGAGTCTGTGTATGGATAGAGTGTTTGAAGTACTCTATGGTGCTAATTTATTTAATCTGTATTGGTGTGAATATTTGCTGCCTTTTCGCCCTTTTTTTTTTTTTTTTGTATGCTTTAAGTGCCCCAAATCTACCTTCACAAACAGCATTCGGTTTCCAATTGTCTTGGAAACATTGGCATATTCTGTGGTACCATTTTAGTTTTATTTACTGCAAATGATGATTTGTTAGTTGCCTGCTGCCAGAACATCTGAGCTCATTTGTTTAACTAAAGCAGTGCCGTGCATAGATGCCTATAACACGCAGCAACAGTTACCAACCACCCCAGTTGCTTGCCACCTCATTTTAGTTCTACATCAAGCAAATAAGAAAGAAGATTATTCTTAAAATGTTCCAAGAAGTTTAGAAAATTGGAGGATGGAGAGGTGGGAGGAAAGGAATTCTATTGTAACAGTCAGCGTGTTGCTCTTGGCAGGGGTGTGGCTGGCTGATTTCCTTTATAGAAATAAGTAAGGCTTCAGGGTGCAGAAATTGCAGGGACACTGCGGAAAACAGCTCTGTGAGTCCCTTGTTTGACAGGCAATTACCAAGTGTTTGTCTTCTGGCTGAGTCCCTGCACCAGGCCAGGTGGGGATGTGTGGGTGAATGAGACATTTTTCCTGTTCTCATGGAGATTATCATCTGGGCGCTGCAGGTGCTTCTGACCTGGAGTGGTGATCACTGAGGAGGCTGTGGCAGAGGTGCTATTTCAGAGCCCACGCCTTTTGGACCTGGTCACAGAATGGCAGGTGCTGGCTGGCTTACCACCAGAGGGCACTTTCCTAGAGTCAAGAGATAATTCTCAGCCTTCCTAGGTTTCTGCATCCTTGAATGATAAAAACAATCGGACTCCTTCAGAAGACATATTATGTTACATTTGGAAGCAAATGAGTGTTTAAAAATATTTTAATAAAATTAAAACCTGGGGGCAGACCTTGCCTTGAGGGCTGGAGAGTGTCGAGTGTTTTTTGATGAACAGGGAGATAATTAATTTCGTTTTTTGGTAGTGAAGTGTCTGCCATTCATTCACTCAGTGCATTTTATTAAGTGCCTGCTTTGCACCAAGCTGCGAATGCTGTGATGAGCAAGGAGCCCACAATCTAAGGGGCCACAGACAGATAAATGGGCAATCTTACTACCCTGTGCTCAGTGTTTTGATTGGGTGTGTCTGGGGCAGATACCAGACTTCTCACCTGGTGTTAAGTGATCGAAGAAGGTTTCCTGGAAGAAGTAATGTCCGAACAATCTACTAGTTCACGTGTAATTAATCCCTTTTTAGGCTAATATTGTCTTAGAAATCAATCAGAAACCTGTTTTGGGAACCGTTCTGTTGAGAACAAATTGAGGAACTGAACTCTGTATTCTAGCCATCTAGTATATTTCCCCATGCTTGTATTTGCCCTTCTCCAATGTTGATTAATCTCTGCTTCCAAGAACATGCCAGGTTGTGACTGCAATGCCTAGGTACACTATTCCTGTGTCTGGAAAGCCCTCTCCTTTGGTCTGCCCCACTGATTTCTTTTGCTCCTTCAGGACACAGTTTCTTCCTCCAGGAAGCCTTCCTTCATTGCTCCTAGGGTAAGGTTGGGTGCACTTCCCATGAGCTTAGGCAAAGGGCTGGTCTTGATTTTTGTACTTCCCAGGAGTCTCTGCTGCTCCATTCCTCTATGTAGCCTGGAGAGAGAGGTAGCATCGTTCATAGAGCCCAGCAGGTTCTGGGCATCCAGGTAATGTTTGTTGAATGAACAAATTCAGAAGTTTTTGAAGGTTATAACCACATGTGTATAATTAAAACTCTTGGTTCTAGCGAGCTTTGAGAGTGTTATTGACTGAAGAAGGTAGAAGCACCAGTGAAACAGATTTTATGCATGTGGTCTAGTTATTAACCTCATAAAGCTCTTTACAATCTTTTGCATTTTATACCTCTACTTCCCCCCCCCTGAGTAACCAATAAACTGAGTAATTCATAGTTCCCACTTCTTGCCAACTACTAAGTGTATTATTAAATCTTACCACAGTGATTTATTAATTAGAATCTTTTGCTTATCAGCAAAAATCACTTTGATTTAGCCTATGCCAGAAAGAGGGGATCATGTGATGAAGAGATAGGGGTGGAGTCTAATAGAATCGAAGATCATAAACACAGGCTTGGGAAGAACTGGTCCCAAGAATCAGAAGGCCAGCAGGAAGCCTGAGAGGCCTCTCCGTTTATTGCTGCTTCTGTCCACAAGGCTCTTTTATTCATTTTTCTACCAGCTCTTTGCCTCTCAGTGGGTGGAGGATGGCTTCCCGTAACCCTCAGCTTTGCCTCCAAGTTCCAGCCATCAGAAAACCATTCTTTCCATCTCAATTCCAAATTCCCCAAGACTCTGGTGTGGCTTACATTAGACATCTATCCCTGACCAGTCACCTGGGCCAGGGAGTGGGTCTTGCTGAGCAAGCCTGGCTGCCCCTGCTCTGCTCACCCTGAGCTGGACATGGGAAGGTAGGAGAAAGGGATGGGAGGACAGCAGACTGACAGATGAGAGGCGTGCAGACACTCGAAAAGTATCTAGGACTTGTAAGCACTTTACTGTAGGTTATTTCTAGATGATTTTGGCTAAAAAATTTTAAAATCTTAGATGAAGCTTAAGGACTTCATTTTGAAAAGATATTTATCTTTTTTTTTAATTTTTATAATATGAATATAGTTTGAGGTTCTTAAGGGAATAGCATATCCACTGAAGCAGCCAGTGGGCCTTATCTTTGTATGGCCATGTATAATGCAGACCAAAGGGTCCTGGCCCAGGCCCTGTTCAGGCTCATGCAGGAGGCAACCATTTGATATGTTTCTCTCACATCGATGTTCCTCTTTGTCTTTCTCTTTCTCTTCCCTTCTCCCTGAAAATCAGTGGAAAAATATCCTCATATGAGGATTAACAAACAAACAACAAAAATCCCATTTCCTGAAAATAATGTTATTTTTCTAAATAAGTGTATCCCATGTACTCTCCTTACAAATGGACAGGGGGGGGGGGGCTACCTTTTGCTCTATATTGATGTGCCTTTGTGAAATTTTTCTAAGCCTCCAATCCCATCTTCCCTCCCTACCTCAATGCCTGAAAGGCCTGGTGCCCTGAGCTCTTATCTTTTAAGAATGTCATATAAAGAATTATAGTAAATTTCCTAATTATATTGAAAATAGATGCTTCATTTTATTGTGCTGATTTGATTGTTCCCTACTATCTATATATATAAAACCCTAAGTGACTGGTCAACTGTTTGACCGATTGCTGTGAGGCGCACTGACCACTAGGAGGCAGATGCTCAATGCATGAGCTGCTCCCTGGTGGTCAGTGAGCTCCCACAGCGGGAGTGCCGCTTAGCTAGATGCCGGGCTCATGGCTGGCGAGCACAGCTGTGGCAGCGTGAGCTTCTCCCGCCTCCACAGCAGTGCTACCGGGTGGTGGCAGGTGCAGCAGGACTGGCATGAGCGGGCTTCTCCCTGGCCACCTGCCGCCTCATGCACTGCTGTATCCTCTGAGGGACTCCACCAGTGCACGAATCTGTGCACCGGGCCTCTAGTATATCATGTTTTCCTTCTAAATTATTTTTCTCTTTATTTTTATATATTTCTTTAACTAGCACATATATATTTAGTGTTATCATTATTAATTATCTTTCTTCTTCTATCTTTCCAGTACTGATTTGAAGCTCTTGGAGGAGGCAACTATTTCAGTTTGCAGGTCTTTAGGTAAGGTGGGGAAATGAGCATGTGTATATGTATGTATGCATATGTATGTGTGTGGGTACTTACTTGACATTTTCTATTATAAATTTTGATAGTGTAATATGAATTGAGTTAATGTTTTCTTGATGATGATGACGATGATGATAATAATAATAATAATAATAATAATTCTATTCTTGGTGCTCATTGATGTTACTAGAATGTACCATTCAGTCATTAGCAATAAAACACATGCTTGTTTAATTTTCAGTAGTGGTAATAGACTCTGCTAAGCATGTTTTATTGCTAAGGACTAGGTGGTACTTTAAAGATATCACTCTATTTTTCTGCTTCTCTCATTTTCGTTGAGATGAAAGCTGTCAACGTTATTGTTTTCCTTTTGAAAATAATAGATTTTTTTTTCTTGGGATGTTCTAAAGTTTTTCTCCTTGTCCTTTGGTTTTTAGCATTTTAGAATGATGTGCTGAGAAGTGGTTTTCTTTTTTTGCTATTTTCCGTTTGTAGAGCTTCTTAAATCTGTTGGTTGATATCTTTCATCAGTTTTGGAAAATTCTCAGCCATTATTGGTTTATACCCTGTTTCTATCCTATTCTGTTTCTCCTTTCCTCTGGACTTCTATTGTACTTCTTTTAACATTTCAGTATGTCTCATATGTCTGTTAAGACTTCTTTTTTTTTCCTTTCTTTTTTTGGTATAGATTAATGTTTTTCCATCAATTTTGGAAAGTTTGTTGTTGCCATTATTTTTGTTGGGCTTTTTATGTTCAATTTTTTCCCTTCTCTGACTTTCAAGAGTATATTTTCTTTTAACCTGCCTTTTGTTTACTAATCTTGTCTTCTGTTGTATGTCATATGCTGTAAATCTATCTATTGAGATTTTTTAAATAAAAACTTAATTTTAGAGTAGCTTTAGATTTACAGAAAAGTTATAGAGCTATAGAGTTCCCATAGAACTCTCATCAGTTTTCTTCATTGTTAACATCTTACATTACTATGTTACATTTGTCACAATCAGAAAATCACCACTGATACAGTACTGTTAAATAAACTCAATACTTTATTCAGATTTCACTAGTTGTTTCTTACTGTCCTTTTTCTTCTCCAGGATCTCATTCATGATACCACAGTGTATTTAGTTATATCTCCTTAGCCTTCTCTGGTCTGCAATGGTCTTTTGGATTTTTCATACTTTGATGATTTTTAGAGTTTAAAGGAGTACTAGTAGGGTACTTTTCTGAATTTCCCTAGATTTGAGTTTGTTTGATGTTTTTCTCATGGTTACACTGGGGTGATGGGTCTGTAGGAGGAAGACCACAGAGGTGAAGTGCTGTTCTCAACACATCATATTAGGACTAAGTGCTATCACTGATGATACTGACCTTGATTATTTGGTTAGGGTTGTGTTTGTCAAGTTACTTCGCTGTAAAGTTGCCCACCATCCTCCTTGTCTTAATTTTTGAAGGAAAGATTTTTCTGGATATGGAATTCTTGGTTGATATTTTATTATTATTTTTTAAATTTTTATTTTGTTGTCAAAACCGGTTTGGCTCAGTGGATAGAGCATTGGCCTGCGGACTGAAAGGTCCTGGGTTCGATTCCCGTCAAGGTATCCTTGGTTGCAGGCACATCCCCCAGTAAGGGGTGTGCAAGAGGCAGCTGATGGATGTTTCTCTCTCATCGATGTTTCTAAAACTCTATTTCTCTCCCTTCCTCTCTGTAAAAAATCAATAAAATATATCTTTAAAAATTTTTTTATTTTGTTTAAAGTATTACAAATAGTAGTACATATGTCTTTTTTCCCCCCTTCTTGGTTGATATTTTAAAAATTCTTTAAAAAAATATATTTTATTGATTTTTCACAGAGAGGAAGGGAGAGGGATAGTCAGAAACATTGATCAGCTGCCTCCTGTACAACTCCTACAGGAGATGTGCCCGAACCAAGGTACATGCCCTTGGTAAGGATGGAACCTGGGACCTTTCAGTCTGCAGGCCGACGCTCTATCCACTGAGCCAAACCGGTTTCAGCTAAAAATTCTTTTGATGGTATCATTCCATTGTCCTCTAGTCTCCTTTCTTTCAGATGGGAAGTCTGTTTAATTGTATTGTTGCTCCCCTATGCATCATGAGTGTTGTTTTTTTCTTGCTGCTTTTAAGATTTTCTCCTTACCTTAAAATTTTTTAATTTATTTTTTATTCTACTTGGAATATGTTAATATTCTTGGATACTTAGATTAATGTTTTTCCATCAATTTTGGGACATTTGTGGCCATTATTTTTGTTGGGCTTTTAATGTTAATTTTTCTTTTTTCCCTGCATGCCCACAGGTTTTCTGGATCAGAGACAGAGTTCTTATTAAGTACATCATTGTAAATAATACTTATGTTTCCCCTAAAATAAGACAGTGTCTTATATTAATTTTTGCTTCCAAAGAAGCTCTAGGTCTTATTTTCAGGGGATGTCTTATTTTTCCATGAAGAAGAATACGGTACACATTTATTGTTAAATGAAAATAAAGGAAATTTATTGCCTGTATACGGTACGGTAGGACGGTAGTTGTCAACACAAACCAGACAAACTGAGAATCCTACAGTATCAAGAATTTACTCCTTTATTCAATGACAATCATGTCATCATCTTCTGGAACATCATCATAACAATCCAATTCCTGAATTTCCTGTGACTCCATTTCTTTCAGAATCAGTGGACCAAATCTCTCATGATTAGCCTGGGGGGGGGGGCTTATTTTCGGGGGGATGCCTTATATTTCACACAGAAGGAAACCTGTAAGTAGGTCTTATTTTCGGAGGATGTCTTATTTTGGGGGAAACGTGGTAAGTGCATTGCTCCTTCTTTGTCCTAGTTCTTATCTGCTAGGGGATGAGAGCCAGGCCAGTTGTTTTCTGTGAGTAGCTGGGGGCGGGAGTGTGACTTTCTTCCTATACTCCAACCCCGAGGTGTGTAAATAATAGCTCTTCAGGAGCCAGGTACACTCCCCCTGCCTCCCTGCCTTGGCTTTTTAGACCTAGAGGTGTTTTCAAGTTCTGGGACCTCATGTCTCTTTGAAATGTGGATGCTTAGGAAGATGATATTGTAGTCTCCCCTACTCCTTTGGAGTCGGCTTAGGTGCTTATCTTGTGATGTAACTGCTTGGCTTTCAGTGAGATAAGGAAGTTTTAAACACTATAATTCTAATCCTGATGGTATGTGAAATGATCCTCGGAGAAGTAAAAGCAGACATTCTCTCACTTCATAGCATATATGTTTTGCAGACCCAGGAGACAAAGGTTTTTTTTTTTTTCTTCTTTTTTTACAGGAACACTGAGAAATACAGGGAGGTTTTATTTCCCACAACTTTTTCAGATACTTTTTTCTCTCTGTCCATTCCTTCTGGGTCTCCTCTTACTATTTCTGAGTTTACTGAGTTCTGGGGGGTGGCCGTTAGCCAGGAGATGTGGTTCTTCTCAGGCATGGCCCTGCAGGGATGTCCATGGAAAGCCCGAGGCAGTAACCAAGGCCCTCTGATGGGGAGTTCACTTTAAATCCTGCCTCCTCAGCACCGGGCAGCTGCTGCTGTGTTTATGTTGTTTCCCTCTCCATTTGCTTGCTTCCAATGGTTCCTTGGATTGGTTTTCCGTTGGCAGTGCAGGAGTCAGTCAAGCATGACAGACAACTTCCTTGTACACAAACTTCTTCCCTGTCATTTCCCTCTAAACTCTGGAGAAGTTCATCTGCTCCTTTGTGGCATCCAGTATTAACCTGAGAGGAAGTCAGAGACCTTCATTTCTTGTTTCTTTGTTCATAAATCTGTCTTCCCTGTAACCATTCTGATTAAATGTTCCTCATTATACTTTGTGATTTTGCCTGTAATTTGATGAGGTCTTTTTATTGGTTTATTAAAAAGCATTTTTGTGAGCTTTTTCAATTCTGAAGTTTTCTGTAGTTATGGCTTTGGTTTTACTTGCTTTATTTTTTCTCCAACTTGGTATCGTCACCTGTGAGGTTCAGGTCGGATTCTGTTCTTTGCCTTCTGCATCTTCTTTTTCTTCATCTCTGTTCTTTTCTTCTAATTCCTCTTTTATATCTTGGGTTCAGTGTTTATACATTACACTTCTTGTCTTTTAAGATTCTAATGAGCCGAAACCGGTTTGGCTCAGTGGAGAGAGCATCAGCCTGTGGACTGGAAGGTCCCAAGTTCGATTCCAGTGAAGGGCATGTACCTTGGTTGCGGACACATCCCCAGTAGGGTGTGTGCAAGAGGCAGCTGGTCGATTATTCTCTCTCATCGATGTTTCTAACTCTCTATCCCTCTCTTCCTCCCTGTAAAAAATCAATAAAATATATTTTAGAAAAAAGATTCTAATGAATCTTTTAGTTGTTGCATTTTTAATCAGTCTAGTTTTTCTAATGTGTCAGTGCTCTCTTTTCATTATACTAATTTTTTCCGGGTGCTTTTTGTTCCTTTTAAAAATAAATGGTTCATTTTCCTATTTTCCACTAATGATGGTTGTGTACCAAAGCTCTTTTTGCCAATTGTGATTCAGCTCTTCTGCTGAGGTTTCAGCATATCCTGTTCCTTATTTCGTTGTTACTATTGTTTTCTTCTAACTCATTAAACCAGCAAATATTTCTTGAGCACCTATAATATGATAGCTATATCCTATAAGCTGGGTGAGTGACTGCAATAAAGACTGACCCCTGACCTCATGAATCTATCTTAACGGGGAAGCCAGACCATAATAAATACATATATTTTATATAATGATGACTCTTCAGAAAAATAAAGCAGGGAGAAGGCAGAGAGTGAGCACCCATGAAGACACAGTGCTTGCTGCCAGGAGAGTATGTCTATTAACCCTGCTCCTATGTGGCTTATAGAGGAGCTTGCTGAATCTATCGTTTTACTTGGAAGGTAGGCTGGTGTTGTGTTCTGGCCTGACTTCTAGAACATGTTTTGTACATGTCTGCTTGGTTTAACTGAGACTTTCCATTGTCTCTACTCCTTGG